AAGTTCTTATAGAGGGCTTTTTTTCCCCCTTCTGGTAAATTCTTAGGATTTTTGACATAGATGGGAATGTCATGCTTGAATAAAGACAGTTAATTTTTCCCTCTTCAATTTGTATGACTTTTATTTATTTTTTTCTTGCCATTTTGCACTAGTGGACACTCCCAGTACAAAGCTGAACAGAAGCGATCTTAGAAAGAAAGCATTCTATCTTTCATCATGAATTATGATGTTAACTGTGGGGTTTACATAGATACCCTTCATTAGGTTGAGGCAACTTCCTTCTATTCTTAGTTTGCTGAATTTTTATCAGGAATAGAAGTTCAACTTTGTAAAATGCTTTTCCTCCAACTATGAACATAATTATATGATTTTTCTTATGTCATTAAAATGGTGACAAACATTTACTGATTTTTAAATATTAAGGCAGCCTTGTATTTTTAAGACAAAACTCACTTGGTAGTGCAGAATTAGACTTTTTGTATGTTGACAGATTTGATGTGCTAGCATTTTCTTTAGAACTTAAAGTCTAGTTTATGAGGGATACTATTCTTTAATTAGAATATTTTTAAGCTAATTTTACTATCAGGGCAACACTAAAACTAGTAAAACAAGATTGGAAATGTCATCTTCTCTTTCTTTTTTCTGGAAGAATTCATGTAAAATTGGTATTATTTCTTCCTTAAATGTTTGACAGAATTTTCTTTTGAAGCTATCAAGGCTGGAACTTCTTTTGTAGGAAATATCCAATTACAGAAAATAGATATAGGGCTATTCAGGTTATCTACTCATGTAGTTTCAGTCTTTTGTATCTTTCAAGAAAGTAGTTTCATCTAGTTGTCATTTATTGCCATAAAGTTGTTCATAATATTTTTTGATAATTCTTGTAATGTCTGTTGGATTTGTAGCAATGTCCTCTTTCATTTCTCATACTGATAATTTGTGTCTAGCTAGAGGTTTATGAATTTTTTTAATACACTCAAAGTTATACTGATTTTCCTATTTTTGTCTTTTTCATATTCACACTTATCATTATTTACTACTTTCTGCTTATTTTGAGTTTAATTTTTCTTGTATTTTCTCAAGGTGGATACATATCATTGATTTATATATTGTTCCTAATATAGGCATTTCCCTCTAAGTACTGCTCTGCTGCACCCTAGAAATTTTGACATATTCTCATTTTCATTTTCATTCAAGTGTTTTTTTATGTTCATAATTTCTTCTTTGACCCATGGTTATTTAGAAGTACGCTATTCAATTTCTACATATGTGGGGATTTTTAGAATAACTTTGTTATTAATTTTCAGTTTGATTCTGCTGTAGTCTGTACTAGTTTCCTAGGTCTATTAAGACAAACTGAGTGAATTCTGCCCAGTGCCCTGCATGTTATGAGGACTCTCTACTCAGGCGAGCGGGAATGCAAACTATTCTGTACCCTTTGTGAGCCCTGGAAACTGTCTGGCCTCCTGTGCTTTTCAGCGGATTTTTCCTTGGACTCTAGAGGCGTGCCTCACGATGCAAAGGTCAGCACTCAGCCAGGGATCTGAGGGCATCTCCAAGCACATCTGAAGAGCTCGTTCTGTGTTAGCTTCCTCCTCCCTGACACTCTGCCACACAAATCCCAGTCACCTATATCCCCCCAAATCCCAAGCTCTGTTAAGACTGCTGGGCTGTTTGTGTTTCCTCTTTCTGCACTGCAGCATGGAAACTACTCTCAGGTAGTTCCATAATGCTCACCTCATGTGTTTCCTTCCTCTTAGGAATCATGGTCCCGTGCTGCCTCTTGTCCCATGTCTGAAGATAGCCATCCCCTCTCCCCTATTTTTACCAACTTTTCTAGTTGTTTCTGGAGTCAAAGGAACTCAAGACTATTTTCACTCCCTTATGGCTTGGGTGGAATTTACTCACTCTTATATTATTTTTGGTGGCTACCCTAGAGATTTCAATATGCATCCCTGACTTTTTAATATTATCTTAAGACATTACTTTTACCACTTTTTGAATAATGAAAACATCTTACAATTGTTTGACTCACTAAGTGTCTCCTTCCTTTTGGGTTATCATCTTCACATATTTCATTTATATACATGCTATAAATGCCACAAGACATTATTATTTCATCTTAAAACTCAGTATTATTTTCTATTTATTTATTAATATTCCCTTTCCTTTGTCATTCTGCCAGAAGAACTTCCTTTTGCATTTCTTATTGAGTAAATGTAGATAATTTTTCTCAGATTTTGTTTGTCTAAAAATAAAACCTTCATTTTGCTTTCATTTCTGAAGGTTGCTTTTGCTGAAAAGGGAATTTGAGGTCGGTAGTGTTTTTCTTTGGACACTTTAACGATCTCAATCCATTCTGTTATGACTTTCATAGTTCCTGTTTTATTGCTAACCATTAGTCTGTTTCTCCTAAAAGGTAATGTGTCTTTCTTCTCCAGTTGCTTTATGAAGTTTCACTTTATCTTTGACTTTTCAGGAGTTTGACTATGATATTCTGAGGTTGTTTTTTGTTTGTTTGTTTGTTTGTTTTGGTATTTTCTCTGGTAGGGGGTTCACATGGCTTCTTTAATTTATGAGCTGATGTTGTTCATTAGTTTTGAAAATTCTCAGCCATTGTGTCTTCAACTATTTCTTCTGTCCCATTCCCCCCTCCTCTCTTTCTGGGATGTTAAGTACACGTGTATTTGATCTTTTGAGTATGCCTCACATACTGTCTTTTCCATACATACTTTTCCATGAATTTCAGTTTACATTATTTTCTACTGACCTGTCTTCAAATTCACTAATATTTTCTGCTGTGTTTAGTCTTCTATTAAACTCATCAAATGAACTCTTCATCAGCTATCATATTTTTGAATTCCTGAAAAATCATGATTGTTTTTGATTCTTATTTTCTAGTAATTCTAATGTCTTCATTTTCCCCTCTTTCCATCTATTAAAATAATATTAAATTATTTTAAAACATTTATTTGTAACTTTAATAAAGGCTCATCTATGGGACTGCTTCTGTTGTTTTTCTCCTGATTACTAGTCACATGTTCCTGCCTCTCCACAGGTCTAGCAATGTATGCTTTGCTGTTTCCTCAGCAATTTAACCATTTTTCCCTCTACTTATACTGGGAGTGTTGGCCTAGTGTGACTTAATATTTCTTTTTTGGAAGTAGAAGTCCTCCCTTCCTCCTGGGATTTCTTCACCTTCAATGTAGGAATACTCAATTACCATTGCTTCTACTTCTTGAGAAACTGCTTGAACGTTGGATACTATTGGGTGATTCTGTTCCTAATTTCACTTTTAACATCAAAAGATTACAGTAGCACTTCAGCTGCTCAAAAGCCATCCAGCCACTTCACCTGTGTACAAGGAACAGTGTACAAGGTGATCCTCTGAATGGCCAATATCAATGACACAAATGCAATTTTTTACCCACAGAAACTCTTAAGAATACACACACTCACAGGCGCACACACACAACCTATACTGTAGTAGAAAGAACACAAAACTTGAAGAAAGAAGACCTGGCCTAAATCTCATTTTTGTCATTTACTAGCAGAGTGACTTTAGGCAAATAATTTTTCTATTTTAAAATATAACTTTTCAATTTATAAAGTTGTTGCAAAGATGAAATACTATAATATGTTTTAAAGACCTTTATTAACTATAAGAATGTTATAGGATGCTTTCCATATTATTAGCTAGTTTGTAAATAAAATTTTAAAAATTAATAAAAATAAACTACAAAAATTATCTAGTTTTTAAATCTACAGATCAAAAGCTATACATTAAACAAACATGGGAATGGGATATAATAGATATATTGACAATTAAAGCTGACAACCAACAGTAAGTATGACATCAAGGGAGGAGTCAAAAACTACTTTTAAAGTAGCAATAAGAGCTCAGGGTGAGCCATTTAATTAACAGGCTTAAACAGCTCTTACTTATTTCAACAGACCCTGAAGCTATTACTTTATCTCAACACAGTATAGTGATCAATATTTGTGACATGTTAAATCTGAAGGTAAATCATTTCCTATATACTACTATTAAAGTAAAGGAATATCTAACAAATTTTGGAAAGACTGCAATAAAAAATGACTAAAATAAAAATCCCAGTTAAGTGATCTCTAAGTGGATTAGTTTCTATGTAGGAACCAAAGCTTTTATATCATGTGATCTTAGAATGATTAAGTTTATGAATAAAATGAAGAGTCTACATCATTAATGGAAAACTACTAATGGAAAACTCTGTAAAAGCTATGGTTTTTCAGAAGTCTTAGAAGAAAATAAGTAATAGACTGTGGCTAAGAAACGATCATAGGAGAGGGTGAAATCAATATTCTAGGAATGACAAGAGGGCTACATGAAGAAATGGTCAAAGAGGGTGTATGGCATAGGTTCTTAAAAGCAAGAATCATCTGAGGAATGGGAGAGCAGGGTTGTGAAATAGTTAATACACTAAGCTTTAGTGACTTTATAAAAATTATAATGGGGAAATAGTAGAAGTTAAATATAACTGGGCCAAAAATGGTTGCAAAAATATAAAATATATATGGATGAGTTAAAAAGATTACTACAGAGTTGATTATGCAAACACATCCAAAATATTGGTGCTATCAAGAAAAAACAAGATTTCAAAAAGTACTAGATATTAGGAAGTAAAGAAAGAATTGAAATGAAAAATAGGTACATGCTCAATGTAAAAGAAGAAACTCAGTACCTTGTTGTTGAAAATGAAGACAGGTCTGGAATCCTTTTTTACATACTTTTATTATAACATAACTATTCACTTATTATTTCCCTAAAACTTTAAAGTTAGCACAGAAAAGGTAAAAGTGATCTAATTTTTGTGTACAGTAAGATTTCATTAGTTGGTAACTGTTATTTGCTAACTAAGCCTAAGGCATATCAACCAGGTTCTAAAACGGTAATCTAAAAAGACCTCTGAAAAAAACAATTTAAAAAATAATTTAGTTATCTTATGAATAAACCAATATACCTTAGCAAGTGATTTTACAATAGGATTCTCCATAATCCCTTTGAGGAAAATTAGGTCTATTTCTTCTGCTCCTGTAGATGAGGGCAGCTCCGTAAGGTTATCCAACACTTGCTGCATTGCTGCTGAAATAAAAGCAATATTAAAAACAAAAACAAAAATCTTAAATTCCAAGCTATTATGAAATATGGTTGAAATTAATTAAAATAAAAAGACATTAACAGTTAACACTCTTGAAAAATCACATTTTAAAAAACTGAATTGTTAAATAGAGTAAATTTCAAATTTACTTCCCACGAATTAGCAGCAGGACAGGTTTTTACAGGCAATTTGGGCTTAATCAGACTACCTTATACATACTTACAACTTTATACTTGCTTTCTATTTTTCAAATTTAAAAACATTACTACAGAAGAAATATAAAATTGGAATAGATCAATAAAAGGTAAAGAGACTGGATTAGGTAATCAAGAAATTTCCTTCCAACAAGCCCAGAACCGGATGATTTTACTGGTAAATTGTATCAAATATTAAAGAACTAAAACCATCACTTCACAAACTCTTCCAAAAAAAGTAGAAGAGGAAGGAACACTTCTCAACTATTCTATGAGATTCTGGTACTAAATCCAGACAAAGACATCACAAGAAAACTATAGCCAATATCCATTATAAATACAGATGCAAAAAATCTTTAATAAAATACTAGGAAACCGAATCCAGCAACACACAAGAAGGATTGTACACAATGACCAAGCACAATTTATCCCAGGAATGCAAGAGTGGTTCATCAACAAGATAATCAGTATAATACACTGTATTAATAGAAGAAAACTACACTGTATCTCAACAGGCACATAAAAAGCATTTGACAAAATCCAATACCCTCTCATGATAAAAAATATTCAGCTATGATAGAAGGGAAATTTCTTCAAGGGCATTTATGAAAAACTCTTAGCTAGTATCATACTTAACGGTGAAAGACTGGATGCTTTCCTGTAAGATTAGGAACAAGGCAAGGATGTCTACTCTTGCCATTTCTACTCAGCATTGTACTGGAGGATCTAGCCAGGGTGGTTAGGCAAGAAAAAGAAACAGGCATCCAGATGAAAAATGAATAAGTAAAACTATCTCTTTTTGCAGATTACAGGATCTTATACATAGAAAATCCTAAGGGACATACAAAATTTTCTTAGAATAAATGAGTTCAGCAAGTTTGCAGGATATAAGATCAAAATACAAAAATCAATTGCATTTCTATACACTAGCAATGAACAATCTGAAAATTAAATTAAGAAAGTCATTCCTTTTACAATAGTATCTAAAATAATTAGAAATAAATGTAACAAAAGAACTGCAAGCTTTTTGCACTGAAACTATAAAATATCACTGAAAGAATTAAAGAAGACTTAGATAAAAAGATATCCATACTCATGGATTAGAAGACTTAATTTTGTTTAAGAGAACAGTATTCCCCAAATTGATCCACAGGTTTAATGCAATCCTTATCAAAATCTCAGCTTCCCTCCATCTCCCTACCATTTTGAATATGGATAAGCTGATCCTAAAATTCACGTGGGAAATGCAATGAACTCAGAATAGCCAAGTAATCTTCAAAAAGAACAAAGCTGGAAGACTCACACTTAATTTCAAAACTGACTAAAAATGCTACAGTATCAAGACTGTGTGGTACTGGCACAAAGACAGATACATAACTAAATAAGAGTCCAGAAATGAATCCATAAATTTACGGTCAAGTGATTTTTGACAAGAGTGGCAAGACAATTCAATGGAGAAGGAACAGTCTTTTCAAAAAAATGAAACTGAGACAACTGGATGTGTACATGAAGAGGGTGATGCTAGACTCCCTGCTTCATTCAGCATCAATCTTAATTTCATTCAGATTAGTTTTATTAGTTTTATTTTCCCTTGATGCTTCTTTAAGTCTACTAATATTGCAGTTTGTTTTTAATATTTTTATTTTTTATTAGAATAATACCTGAACATCGTCAAAACTCAGATTGTATTACTTAGTGGCTTATGATGAAAAATAGCAGTTCTCTATTTCATGTTGTCATCTTCCCTCTCAACTTTTCCTACTCTCCAGAAGTAACTACTTTGAATTTGTTATTTCTTTTAATCACAACTATATTTCTGGATAATATGCTATTATTGCTACTTTTTGATTTACCATTTTAGACATTATTTTTGTTAGAATAGTACTGGTGGGTTAAGCTTTACCTTTCCCTAGCTCCAGACTGGCAATTTTCAATAAAATCAAGTTAGTGCTTTTCATATGGGACTCCTACAAGGTTTTTTCCCAAATGTTCCAACCAACTTCTCACGTTTCTATCAGTAATTTATCCAAGTGCTTAATTATCAAAACGATTCCTTGACTTCCACCCTTGAACTCTCTCCCAAGTAGTCTTCTCTTGCACTTTAACTGAGATAGCTTCATCTTTAGGTCTCCTAGTCAGTATGTGTAAATGAATGACAATTTTGGAAGTAATGAGGTGGACAGGTGAAAAATATGCATTTACAACAAGCAGAAGAAAAACTGATTTAAGCTAAAATGAAGAAAGCAGACACTAGGAAATAAGGAATATAAGCAAAGCCTACTTCATAATTTTGCTTGAGGTCCAATGTGTAATTTGGGCAGAGAACACTAGAACCAACAATCTTCAGTACTTTTACCCTGTGCCTATAAATGTAGTTAGCTCTACTTTTCAAGATTATTTTTTTCTTTCCTTTGACATTCTTTGCTTTATTTTCATTATGGAAAATTCCAAATATATACAAAAGGAGACAATATAACAAACCCAATAATCATCAACTCCGACAATTAGCAACTCATGGCAAATTTTGTTTCATACCCTTATATACTTCCTATTCTACACAACTTTGAAGCAAACACCAGGTATCGTATTTCAGAGTATAAGTCTAAAAGATCAGGGCCCTTTTTAAGCAATGTAACCAAAATACTCAACAAAATAACAGCAATTTCTTAATATCATCAAACATCTAGCTGGTGTTCAAATTTCCAGTTGTACTGAAGACTTTTATCTGCAGTTTCTTCTGTATTTTATTTTTTTTATTGAAGTACAGTCAGCTTACAATGTTGTGTCAATTTCTGGTGTACAGCATGTTTTAGTCATATATACACACACACACACACACACACACATATTCCTTTTCATATTCTTTTTCATTAGAGGCTACTACAAGATATTGAATATGGTTCCCTGTGCTATATAGTAGAATTTTGTTGTTTATCTATTTTATATATCTGCAAATCCCAAACTCCCAATTTATCCCTTCCCACCTCCTTTCCCCACTGGTAACCATAAGTTTGTCTTCTATGTCTGTGAGCCTGTTTCTCTTTCATAAATAAGTCCATTTGTGTCATTTTTTTAGATTCCACATACAAGTGATATCATATGGCATTTTTCTTTCTCTTTCTGGCTTACTTCACTTAGTATCATAATCTCCAAGCCCATCCATGTTGCTGCAAATGGCATTATTTTATTCTTTTTTATGGCTGAGTAGTATTCCATTCCACCCCCTCTACACACGCACATCTTCTTTATCCAATCATCTGTTAATGGACATTTATGTTGCTTCCATGTCTTGGCTATTGTAAATAGTGCTGCTATGTACATTGGGGTGCATGTATCTTTTTGACTTAGAGTTTCCTTTGGATATATGCCCAGGAGTGGGATTGCTGGATCATATGGTAAGTCTATTTTTAGTTTTTTAAGGAATCCCTACACTGTTTTCCATAACGGCTGATTTTTTTTTTAAGTGTATCTTCTATATTGGTTCTTGAGGTGTTTAAATTTTTATATTTGTGCTTAGTTAAGTGAGAAGAAAAGTGGCAGAAATTGTAAAATACACCCTTGGATATTCTGAAGAACTTTATAAGTTGTTACTGATTCTTGAGTGTATGAAATTTAATTAAAAACTAGTAAGTCTGTCAATATACTACATCTTGAAAAGGGAATCTATATTATAAAGTTGCCAAACATTCTCAAATTGTACATATTTGATGGAATTTTAATAAAAATACAACAGACCCCTCCCCTCATATAACCATGTTTTCAGGCCAGGTCTCGCTTGGTCTCCCCCCTCTAAGGAAAGGGCCTGGCTGGGGAGCTCCAGGGAAGTTGGGCTGAGGAAGCAGGGCAGTGGGGTAGACTGATACAGTGCTGAGCAGGTTAGGGAGGCCAGTCCTGGGAGAATGTTGTGCTAGTGAAGGTCGATGAAAATCTGGTATTTGTTCTGCTATTCATTTTTGTGGGGAAGTGAATTATGTTCCTCGCCATGAAATCTTGAAGGGGGACCTCATGTCCCTGTGGGGTATATGCCCCCAAAGACTTCAAAGAGGACACTGATTATCTGACTATCCAGGCTTAAGAATATCAAGTACAAACTTCAGCTCCTTGTGGGTGACAGTGCAAGACAGCGACAGCTGGAAACCTAGGGAAGTCAGAATTGCTGCAACTATCTGCTGTAGTATGAAACCTCTGGACACTATGCCTCTGAGAATCCATCTCAAGCTGAAGAAGCATCCTTGCTCCTTAATGGGCAAGATTTTCGGCTCCCACCTGCTAGATCTTCTAAAACAGTAGTAGTCCTTTCAAGGGTGTGCACAAGGCCCTCATTGATACCCTGCCGAGTGACTGAGACAGCCTGCTATGGGACACAGGTATGCGGCCAGAGAAAGTACCTGTGCTATCAAGGGGCCTGGACTCAGCTGGCTGCAGTGGTCAAAGCACAGAATAGGAGCTCTCAGCACCACCACCAGTCAGAGTAAAGACCTAATCTGGTCTCCTGAGCTCTTCCAGCAACCATCAGGTGACATACCTCCTCTACAGTCAGAAGAATAAACATGCCAAATACTTCCTCAAGTGGAAGAGCTTTAAGCACAACTACAGCGGACCCCTGAACAACATGGATTTGAACTGCTAAGGTCCATTTATATGTGGATTATTTTCAACAAATACGTACTACAGTACTGCAGTAGGCTGAATCTGACAACCCAGAACTGCAGAGACCGTCTAAGTGGATTTTCCACTATGCAGATGGTCGGTGCCTCTAACCCCCTCTGTTGTTCAAGGGTCAACTG